TGCATGATCCAGAAAACCTGTTAAGATCCGGATTCATTCTAGAATTGTATCAAGTCAATTTTTGGAACAGTTAGAATTGTATCAATGTAATGAATTGCTATGCGTTTGTAGACAACACCCCTCAGGACTCCCATTTATTTTAATAAAGCCAGCATGTATGAACACAAGGGATTTAATAATCTGTGAGGATAACATGCCAGACAACTAATTTTACAGCATGTAGTCTGAACACAGCACAAGAGCATATTTCTTCAGAGTCTAATGATTGTGTATGCTCTATTAGTAGCACATGCACCTATGTAAATGATAGGGAAAAAACTAGAGAACACACAGACATGCAACTGAGGTCTTCTCTTTGATGTAACATTCATTGGGATTTAAATTTTTTTTTTTTGATGAATTACCAAAGAAAAACATGGCAACTCTAAACATTAACAGTAGACATACCAGTAGTATAGTGAAATTTAAACAAATTTTATACATCCTAGTTTTAGAAATTGGTTACAAACAAATTGGAGTTAACAAGACAATTTGTGTGTGATTCAAATATAAAGGAAAATACAATATCTTTATTCATTTATTATCTACCAAACTACATCATACCGGTAGTACGTAAACAGTGAGTGGTACCAAAACTACTGATAGACTGTTTTAACCATATTTGATACAGCATATTTCAAAAGTGGGTTACATGAACTACAGGAAAAGGTATAATATGGGGGTTGTGGATTTCTTGTGCACATCAAAACTATTACATAATAGAACACTGTGCACGCCAAGAGACTCCACACAAAAACACTATTCCATTCTCTTTGATGTTTGCCACAGTTGCCAGTGTCTGTATTCTCTAGTGTCTTTGGTCAAACTATAAAGTTACATTATAATGATCCAGCACACAATAAAAGCAATGTAGGTTTATTTGTGCTTCTATTGGAGATGTGCTTCTAAATAATTGTGCATGTGTTTATGTTGCTGTTACTGATATATTGTTTTGAACACCCATACAACAATATTGCTGACTGGTTTGTTAAGTGAGTCTTGCGATTTCTACGTAATTAGAACTGGTGAGATATAAAATCCTATTTTTGATGCGTCATTCAACAGAATGTACATGTTTATAATACTA